ATCCATCTATCTATCTATCTATCTATCTATCTATCTATCTATCTATCTATCTATCTATCTATCTATCTATCTATCTATCTATCTATCTATCTATCTATCTATCTATCTATCTATCTATCTATCTATCTATCTATCTATCTATCTATCTATCTATCTATCTATCTATCTATCTATCTATCTATCTATCTATCTATCTATCTATCTATCTATCTATCTATCTATCTATCTATCTATCTATCTATCTATCTATCTATCTATCTATCTATCTATCTATCTATCTATCTATCTATCTATCTATCTATCTATCTATCTATCTATCTATCTATCTATCTATCTATCTATCTATCTATCTATCTATCTATCTATCTATCTATCTATCTATCTATCTATCTATCTATCTATCTATCTATCTATCTATCTATCTATCTATCTATCTATCTATCTATCTATCTATCTATCTATCTATCTATCTATCTATCTATCTATCTATCTATCTATCTATCTATCTATCTATCTATCTATCTATCTATCTATCTATCTATCTATCTATCTATCTATCTATCTATCTATCTATCTATCTATCTATCTATCTATCTATCTATCTATCTATCTATCTATCCCTCTATCTATCTATCTATCTATCTATCCCTCTATCTATCTATATATCTACCAATCAACGAATCCAAAACATTTTTAATAACATTGTTACATTTGGTGGCAGCGGTGGGATTCACACTAAAAGAAAGAAAAGTATGAAACGGCGCAGGAGCAAAGTGAGTGAGATGGCTCACAATTTAAGGTCCAAGGACAAGGGCACGAAGGACGGTGAGGAGGAGGAGACGTTGGATCCTGTGCGGGCCACCCAGATCCGGATCATGTTAGAAGCAGCTGAAGATGAGAGGAGAATAAGACGTGAAGCAGCTAAAAGGGAGGAACAACGCGCAGAAAGGGAGGAGCAACGCGCAGATGAGGATAGAAGGCTACGGAGGGAAGCTGACATACAATTAAAAATTAATAATCGTAATAGTCAACAGGAAGACCGGGTTAACATGGGCAACAGATTTGGCCCCATGTTAGGAAGATGCCCAACTGACCCTCGGGAGATCTCCGCATATTTTCAACGGATTGAAGGCATATTTGAAAGTTATAGAATCAGTGATGAGGCCAAGGCTGAACTGTTGTTATCCAGATTGGAGCCGAAGATGAAAACTATATTGAATGAACTTCGGACCGAAGATTATACAAATTATGAAGCTATAAAGCAGCAAATCATTCGCTCTTGCCGATTTTGTCCGAAGAAGCTCCGGGATGCATTCTTTTCAACCTATAAGGCAAAGGAGGAAACATACCCAGCATTTGTTGCACAATTGTATCGCCATCTCAAATTCTATTTCCAGAGTCGGAAAATTGAAACCCTTGAACAAGCCATGTCCTTGTGGGTTGTGGACCGTTTAAAGGAGATAATACCAAAAAATTTGGTAGAGTACATACTGGCTCAGGAGGGTGACGAGTGGTTACCACATGATAAAGTAGCAAACCTGTTGGAGACTTATGAAGCGAATATGAATATGAGGGGATCGACCAACTCTATTTCTAGTTTCCGAACACAGTCTGGTCATGCTCATTTAGGAAGTGACAGTAAAGGGTTGT